AAAAATTCAGAAGATTTGTCAGTTAGAGTAAATCTAGGGTGGAAGGAGTGGAAAGTTCTAGCTACCTTATCAGTCTAATGGGAACATGTTCTAAGACTTCAAATGTATTAATGAGAATTATTTTCGTTTTTCTCTACCTCCACGCTCCTTTAAAGAAGCATTACGCCCAAGAAACAGTTCCACTTTGAACACTAAAACTTCGAAATGGCAGAAAGAATACTACAAGATATAGCTGAACAAAAGAAGCGTCTTACAATAGCGGAAATCAATAAAAACACGGAAGAGAAAGCAAAAGCCTACTACAATCTAGGCAATGCTTATTACTCCCTCAGTGACTTCCATCAAGCAGTAGAGTACCTCAACCAATACCTCAGCATAGCTGAGGAAGTCGGTGACATAGCAGGATCAGCAGGATGTGTCTGTGGCGGAGTCGGCATTGCTTACCAATCCCTCGGTGACTACCAAAGAGCAATAGAGTACCACAATCAACACCTCAGGATTGCCAAGGAAGTTGGTGACAGGGCATGTAAAGGCAAAGCCTTTTTCAATCTCGGCGTTGCTTATCACAGCCTTAAAGAATTCCACAGAGCAATATTGTACTACAATCAAGGCCTCAGGATTGCCAAGGAAGTTGATGACAGGGCAGATGAAGGAAGTGCCTATCTCAATCTCGGCGCTACTTATCGCAACCTTAATGAATTCCAAAGAGCAATAGAGTACTACAATAAATACCTCATCATTGCCAAGGAAGTTGGTGACAGGGAAGGGCAAGGCAAAGCCTATAACAATCTCGGCGCTACTTATCGCAGCCTTAATAAATTCCAAAGAGCAATAGAGTACTACAATAAATACCTCATCATTGCCAAGGAAGTTGGTGACAGGGCAGGGCAAGGCATAGCCTATGCCAATCTTGGCTGTGGTTATAACAGCCTTGAAGAATTCCAACGAGCAATAGAGTACCACAATCAACACCTCAGGATTGCCAAGGAGGTTGGTGACAGGCGAGATGAAGGAAATACCTATGGCAGTCTCGGCTTTGCTTATCAGGGCCTTGAAGAATTCCAACGAGCAATAGAGTACCACAATCAACACCTCAAGATTGCCAAGGAAGTTGGTGACAGGGCAGGTGAAGGATGTGCCTATGGCAATCTCGGCGGTGCTTATCACAGCCTTAAAGAATTCCAACGAGCAATAGATTACCACAATCAAACCCTCAGCATTGCCAAGGAAGTAAGTGACAGGGCAATGGAAGGCAGAACCTATTACAATCTCGGCGCTACTTCTCTCAGCCTTAATGAATTCCAAAGAGCAATAGAGCACACCAATAAATCCCTCATCATTGCCAAGGAAGCTGGTGACAGGGCAGGGCAAGGCAAAGCCTATGCCAATCTCGGTCTTGCTTATCACAGTCTTAATGAATTCCAAAGAGCAATAGAGTACACCAATAAACACCTCATCATTGCCCAGGAAGTTGGTGACAGGGCAGGGCAAGGCAAAGCCTATAACAATCTCGGTCTTGCTTATCACAGCCTTCATGAATTCCAAAGAGCAATAGAGTACACCAATAAACACCTCATCATTGCCCAGGAAGTTGGTGACAGGGCAGGGCAAGGCAAAGCCTATAACAATCTCGGTCTTGCTTATCGCAGCCTTCATGAATTCCAAAGAGCAATAGAGTACACCAATAAACACCTCATCATTGCCCAGGAAGTTGGTGACAGGGCAGGGCAAGAGCAAGGCTATTCCACTCTCGGCAGTAGTTATGAAGTTCTCGGCGAATACCAAAGCGCAATAGAGTACCACAATAAATGCCTCAGCATTGCCAAGAAAGTTGGTGACAAGGAAGGGCAAGGCACAACCTATCACAATCTCAGCAATATTTATTCCGCTCTCGGCGAATCCCAACGATCAACAGAGTACAGCAATTAAGTCCTCATCATTGCCAAGGAAGTTGGTGACAGGGCAATGGAAGGCATGGCCTATGCCAATCTCGGCAGCCCTTATCACAGCGTTGAAGACTTCCGAGGAGAAAAGGAGTGCTACGAGAAAGCGTTGAGCATTTTCAAGGAAGTCGGTCACAGAGAAGGAAAAGGACTTGCCTATTTAAAACTCGGCAGCGTTTATCGTTCCCTCGGCGACTTGTCACGAGCAATGGAGTACTACAAGCAATCCCTGAGCAATGCTAAGGAAATTGATGACAGGGAAGGACAAGGAGATGCCTATTGCCACCTCGGAGGATGTTATCTCGAGCTCCAAGACTTCAAGAAAGCAATAGAGTATTTCAGGCAACACCTGAGCACTGCCGAGAAAATCGGTGACAGGAAGGGAGAAGCATGTGCCCATAGCGGCCTGGGTCAGTCTTTTTTGGCATCAGATTCTTTGAATGAGGCTTTAGAACATTTTAGATGCAGTGTAAAAATCTTTGACACTATTAGAGCCAGTTTTATCTCGGAAGATGAATTGAAAATAAGTTTCCGTACGCAACATCAATATGCCTATACTCATTTATGGCACGTTTTAGTAAGGCTTCAAAGACATGATGAGGCTTTATACGCTGCTGAGAGGGGACGGGCACAGGCTTTGCTCGATGCCTTAAAACTAACTTATGGTCTTACATCACTTTCTCCCAGGTCAATTGAATCTGAAGAAGAAGTCAGATATATTTCAAGGAAGACAACTGTTTTAACAGTTTTTCTTGCCCTTCATTTGGAAACAGTCAATATATGGGTATTGCGAAAAGAAGGCAACCCTATTTTTACGCACGCGAAGATAGAAATTGGTCCTGAACACGAAGATTCCTTTACTTTCCTTTTAGACTTTGTTTTGGGATGCATTGGGGCTGGCGTCGGTATCAGGTGCGAAAATCGGTCAATGGATAAGATTAGTGATGACCAAACTTCAACTACTCGAGACGATGATCAAACATCGGAGCCAATACAGGGGACCACCGACCTTTTACAGCCATTATATGATGTAGCTCTTGGTCCCATTGAAGACTTGCTTGATGGTGATGAACTAATTGTAGTTCCTGACGGCGCTTTGTCTAAAGCTCCTTGGGCAGCCCTGAGTGAAACTTTAAGGATCCGCACTGTTCCCTCACTGACAAGTTNACTGTTTTAACAGTTTTTCTTGCCCTTCATTTGGAAACAGTCAATATATGGGTATTGCGAAAAGAAGGCAACCCTATTTTTACGCACGCGAAGATAGAAATTGGTCCTGAACACGAAGATTCCTTTACTTTCCTTTTAGACTTTGTTTTGGGATGCATTGGGGCTGGCGTCGGTATCAGGTGCGAAAATCGGTCAATGGATAAGATTAGTGATGACCAAACTTCAACTACTCGAGACGATGATCAAACATCGGAGCCAATACAGGGGACCACCGACCTTTTACAGCCATTATATGATGTAGCTCTTGGTCCCATTGAAGACTTGCTTGATGGTGATGAACTAATTGTAGTTCCTGACGGCGCTTTGTCTAAAGCTCCTTGGGCAGCCCTGAGTGAAACTTTAAGGATCCGCACTGTTCCCTCACTGACAAGTTTGAAAGTCATCTCAGATTCTCCAATTGAATACCACAGTAAAGGTGGAGCCCTGCTAGTTGGAGATCCATGCTTGAAGAAAATTACAGATAGACGGGGGAGCCCCATTTATGATCCTCTGAAGTACGCAAGAATGGAAGTGGAGATGATTGGAGAAATTTTAAAAAGTCAACCCTTAACAGGTGAAGATGCAACCAAAGAAGCGGTACTTCAGAGAATCAGGTCAGTTGCTTTGGTACACATTGCAGCCCACGGAAGAAAGGAAACGGGAGAAATTGTTTTGGCTCCAGCCCCCCGATGGGAATCCAAGCCTCCTAAGGAGGAGGATTGCATTATGAAAATGTCTGACATACAAGCTGTTAAGCTGAGAGCGAGGCTGGTTGTGCTTAGTTGCTGCCACAGTGGTCAAGGAGAGGTATCGTCTGAGGGTGTGGTCGGTATGGCACGTGCTTTCTTGTTTGCTGGTGCTCGTTCCGTGCTGGCGACACTCTGGGCAATTGATGACGAAGCCACAATGATGTTTATGAAATCTTTCTACAAACAACTTGGAAGTGGAGAAAGTGCAAGTGTTGCTCTTCAGAGGGCCATGAAATGTCTTCGAGACTCCCACGACTATTCTGCCCCGAAGTACTGGGCTCCTTTTGTTCTGATGGGCGATGACGTTAAGATTGAATTGGAAAAGAGTCATTGAGCAAGTCGTAAGTGGAGGTTTTTTTTCTTGTTGTTTTAGTAACAAAAGGCTTAAGAAGAAAAGCTAGAACCAATCTTGTCAAATTCAGATAAAAGGAAAATGACAGACTTGATAATAAAAAGGATAAAAATATGTACAAAGTAAGGATGGGTTGGGTGGTAAGTGTTAAATTATTATCGATTCACTCAAGTAAATGCTATTCCTTACGGGCTACCAACACATTTCAAAAATCAATTGAACACTAGGCATTGCTTAATGTTCTCCATTGTTAAATAGTTTAGGTCACGTGTGGATAAAAGGTATACATAGGGAATAAGTTTCCTTCGTTTTTTTTACAGGGCTAGCACTATATGTAGAGAAATTCATAGCTTCAAAACGATCAAATATGTCTAACATGTTAAATGTTTTTCATTTTGCTATTTTTCATATTATCATCCATGGCATCCTAAAATTTAACGCTTTGACCTTTATTTTGTTTTCAAATGAAAGATTAATTAATGTATCAATTGTTACTTTCTTTACAGGGATGCGCTGGCTGAAAGTTTGATGTCACCACAACTGCTGAAGTAACGTGTATATATCTGGATTTCCCCAAAGAAAGGAGTGTATTATTTAATAGCTGTCCTCAATGGGGGGTTTGGTAAAAAAGCGTCTTTTCATTTTAGTCATTTTTTGTCAGAAGATATTAAATAGAGAGATTTATAGTCACGCTAACGGCAAATGGCAAACGTCTATAGAGTCAAGTTGAGAATTTGTCAAAATAGACAATATGCAGATAAAATGAAAACAGCTCAAAGCAATTCTTATGGATAAAACTAACTTGAAACTAACAATTTTTTGTAGATTTAATTAACAGCAAACGAGAAAGCTCGAGCTCTATATTAGCCACGCCGGCTACACTTATCAATTTTAACTTTGGAAAAAGACAAACAATTTTCGTGGGGAAAGAACTTAACGTTGTTTACAAGTATTTCGTTACTCCCGCGAAACTGACTGAATAGCATGATTGCCATTTTTCTCGTGTAACCTACCTTAACACGCAAATTGTAATTTGGCAAAGGCAAATTGCATTGTAATAACTGTAATATTGATGATAATAATCATCCTTATCATCATAATCTTAATAATTCCTTTTCAGTTTTTTCCCTAACCCATTCGCTCTCGGAGATTTTGCCGAAAAACGCGTTTTGAAGCTAGTCGAGTGGTTTGCTGGTCACTGTCGTGCTATAAAGATCTAAAACTTACCACAGACTGGTTTACAGGTCGTACACTTCGCGGCCTTCTGATCCAGATGCAAAATATCAGCTTACGAAGTTCGGGCATGCGCAGAAAGCAAAATTTCGAGATGGTTTTTGGGTTTAAAAGTGACACAGCAGTCTTGACTTTTACTTTTCGCTTTCTCTCCTCCCTTCTTTTTTCGCTTTTCTTGCCTCATTTTTTTTTCTCTTGCTGGGCATTTAGCAGGCTTCATTTTGATGGGAAGAGTTTTAAGGAAAGCTTTTAGGATCTTAGGATTAGGTGAAAGGAAAGGTAGGTGAGCAATGGAACAAGATTTTCATGGAGATTTTCAGGTCATTTTCACGTGGTTTTTTGCTTCTTTCTCCGGTGTCCTTGACTGAATTGTCCTCATTCTGGTATGGTTTGAAAGATCTCTTCACTCTGCGCAAGTTAGCGAAGAAAGTTGTCCTTGACCGTTAAAACTGATGACGTCACAAAGGGTAGAAAGGACCCGGATCCGCACGGGCGGTCACGGGCGGTTCAGGGGCGAATGGGTTAAAGCAAATGACTGAAACAAATAATTCAAATTAATTTAACAGGGTTAACCCTCGGACGTACACGCAAATTCATACCTCAGCGTGGTATAAGGGGGAGGGGTGGATGGAACCCCTCCCCAGAGTTTTTGATCATGATAATTTGCAGTATTTCGAAACGATTTTGCCTTCAGTGGAAAGCCTTTGATCTAGGTGGTGCTGCTGGAGGCCTGTGACGTCACCAATGGTCGCCATCTTGGATTTTCACCAAGAAATAGAAATCAGGTTAAAATCGCGATTAATGATAATTTTCTGTGCTTCATATGTAAAATTACATTTAAATAAGCCCTTTTGCATCATTTCATTGACAGGTTTTACTTTTATTGTGGAAAAAATTTGTAAGAACAGGCATTTTCACTCAAAAATGGCTTGACCACCTGCTACTTAAGACATCATATGTCGTAACCATAGTAACTGACCATCACTAAACTTGTCTCAAACTTGTCCGTCCGAGGGTTAAGAATCCCAAGTCACCTAAGGGGACGGAGACGAACCAATTAACTATATACAAGCGTGGCCGTGGTTTCAGTAGGGTGATTCAGATTTTAATGAGACAGTTTTAAAAATTTTAAGTATGCACTGTAAGTGTTTTGTGCATTCTGAACCGTGATTCTGAACCGCGGGTCACATTTCAGTGGTTTAAGGTCTGGGTTAAAAGGGTGTATTACTTTTATATGACTGATCCCTGTTTCCCAGAACTAGTATTATTTAAAAAAAAAGAAATGAATATGTTCATATCTTGTTGATCCTTAATGTATAAATTGGCGGACAGTACAAAATGCAGACTGCAGACTGAATGCAGACCATTGTTTTCAGGGTTAGAAAACAATGGGACTATCAGTGGCTTCATAGCTTAGTTGGTTAGAACGTCGCACCGGTATCGCAAAGTCACGGGGTTAAAATCTCGTTGAAGTCCTGATTTTTTTGTTTTCAGGCTTCTTACGCAATTACATGAATTGCATTCACAACTGCGAGGATCATTCTTCATTTGATTTCATTCCAATATGATTTATTTCATATGCATTTGTCAATGGGAGTATTGTTGTCACGCTCCCATTTGCATGGTGAATACAATGTTTTGCACTGAGAGCAGTCTGCAGTCTTCATTTTATACTTATGTTATATATTGGGACACACATTGTGTCACTTAATTAAACCTTTTTTTAAATTTAAGTAAAATGGGATTTCAGAGACGAGTTTAACTTATATGGATAAGTTATTAGCGTTTCGTACAAAGAGTAAAACATTTTGCCTTCCACGTTTGGGGATGAATATGCTCGTAGTTTTTACAGTAAGTTTTGGACGATACACTGAATAGCCTCCGCAGAGACAGGAGCGAGTGACCGCTGGCGAATTGGACCGTCTGAGAATCATTAGAGTGACTTTTGCCTTATTTTAATAACCCTCTTTTAAGAAAAGCGTTGCCAGATAGTGCTTCCATGCCTGCAAACAAAGGAAAAAGGGCCCGAAATCAAATTTTCATCCGAAAACAAGATTTATTTGCCTTCTCTATTTTTCCACCACCACTTCCTTGTAGAGCTGAGTCCGCCTCTGTCTCTGCAGTCGTAGACTATTTGTTCTGCCATTAAACTAGGTTTAACTCTTAATCTTGTTTCTTAATTACTGCGAGTCATTTCAATCATAAAAAACGTTTTCGTGTATTATTGTGTTAGTGGTCCGACAGCTTTAATTGATGTTGACTTTAAAGTAACCAAACAGTGGGAGATATTAGATTAAGAATTTGGACGCTACAATAACTTAATGATGTTTTGTTGTAATTGTGCTAGGTTGTAAAAGTTGGGCTTTTTATCAAGTAGATCAGTTCAAGATCACAACACGTACACAGCAACGTTCTGAGGTTTGGTGTTTGGAAATTACAGCAATCGTTAAAGCTATGATCATTCTATCGAGAATCTGACCTATTTTTACTGCCTCTAGGTTGCTTTTCTCGAGGCCATTGACTTTTAGCCATCCCTCAGTTATATAATTTAAAGGAGCTGCTTTAATTTAGGGATGTCACCATTAGAAAAAAAGGATAGGAGGTTGGGAAAAGGAAAACGCATTAGTGAGAAAAAAATCTCTACACGCAACATGATCAAAAAAGCTGTTCGAGGAGGAAAAATAGATTTCCACCTCAGGAGTAGAGAGAAAATTTTCATAGACCTCACAAAAATTCAACCCAACCCGTTACTTTCCTAATGGTTTATCCCTTATACCGCCACATGTAACGGAATCCGGAATCTGGGAAAAATTTGCATGTGGAATCCGGAATCCTAGGCTTTGGAGTCCGGAGTACAGCTCAAAGAATCCGAACTCCCACGAGCAATTGGAATTGAGAATCCAAGTTCCACTGACGAAGACTGGAATCGAGTACCTGTAATCCGGAATCTGTGACGTAGAATTCAGAATCCAAGACTATCTTGGATTGCCTTACATGGGGTGACTGTCTTATAGGTCGGCTTGTTGAACTGTTTCTACTTGATCCCAACACGTAGCACGATACAATGTTTAGTTTCTGATGTTACCTTAAGATAAGTTATGTTGTATTAAACCTGAAGAAAACGAGATGTTTACTGTGATTGTTGATCGATGCCTTAAACCATTTTAAAACAACTTCTCCTTGAATTGGAATAGTCAATATTTGATTACCAAACCACTCCCCCCTTAAAGACGCTAAACATTTTCGATTCTAGGACGTTTTTCACATGATTTAAGGCAAGGTTCTGATTCTGTCATCAAATTATCCCGCTAGGTAAATCGGTTTTCAGGCAAGAAAACCCAACTTTCAAGCAGAAGTTTGATGAAACCATTTGACCTCGTCTCGCCATACAACGTCATAAGAAGCATAAAGGCACCAAAAACTCATTCCATTATATTTTCAAAGAGTACCATGGTAGTGACCCACAACTTTGCCACGGGTATCTGGGCAGCCAAATGACTCACTAAAACAAAAAACGTGTTCAAACCAAATTTCCCCATTCAGGGATTTACCTTTGAAACAGCAAAGGAAACTTTTGTGCATATTCATCAATACTGGGTAACGGATATTCGAACCGTTGCGTTAATAAAAGAGTAGGAGGGAGGAGTGAAACCCAGAAAAACGGAAGTAAATATTAAGTGGAAGTGAGGATTGGGAATTAATCCCCCAGTCCCTCTCGGCCAACTACTCTAGACTCGTACCCAGTCGCT